ATTGATTTTGTCTTTTTGTTCGCTACAAAATGATACATGACAATAATAAAGCATAATGTAAATAATTCATCTTACACTTATGTTAAGATTTTGATGTTAAATTAGATCATATAGAAGCATAAAAAGCAGGGTTATTGATCTTTTTATTTGTCTCCTTCATAGTTATTTGAAATTTTAATTAACGATCATCGATAACACGAAAATTCCGAAAGATGGTAGCAATGTTAGATCTAATCATTGTCGCTGTTGAAAGTCGTTTTCATTATCTCGAAAAAAAACAGACTTCTCACTTCAAAAATCGTCATTTGGTGCAGCGAATTGAGGAAAAACGAAACTTTGTAACAACATTTGAACGAAAATTGTATGACTCTCTGATCTTTAGATCAACACGTCACAAAATTACGATTCAAGAGTAGTGTCTGACACAGGGGCTAAGCTCGCCGGGTGCATTCGGTGCGAGGCATGGTCTCAAACTGGACTCATTCTTCATGAGATTATCAAACTTTCCACTTAGTCAAAATGTCGAATTCAAGGAAAAAAACCATATTTGTAGATTGCACATTGAGTAGTGGCCCGATCCTTCGAACTTTGGAGTAGAGACCTTTGGAGTCAGTTTTTTTATTCCGAAACTCCACTCCGACTCCGAAAAATTTCTTCTTTACGACCTCCGACCCTAACTCCGACTCCAAGAATTTCTATTGTTTGACTCCGATCTCAAGTCCGTAAAACTCTGATAAACTTCGAAATTTTTTTCTCGAAAACAGACGACTTCTAATGTATTTTATTGTTTAGTTTTGAGCATGTATAAATCGATAAATCAGCATAGGAATAAAAGAAAATCAAAAAATCATTAAAAGATTAATTTTCAATTTCTTTTTCATTTGTTCCCAGGTGGAAAAATCTTACGAGGGCGTGGGGTGTGGGTGTGAGGGGAAACATCAAATTTATCGAATATAAAAAATGTCGATAGATCCCAAGTTGGCTCCAAGTTGATTTCAACTTGGTTTTTTCAACTTGAAATCAAGTTGAAATCAATCGACATTTTTTGTATTCGACAAAATTATAGGCACTCGGATGTGGGTGTGGGTGCGTGTGGGTTTGGGGTGTGGGTGTGGGTGTGTGGGTGTGGGTTTCAATGTTCTTCGGAAGCATTCACACTCACACCCCACACCAACATCCCATAGCCACACCCCACACCCAACACCAACATCCCATAGCCACACCCACACCCACACCCACACCCACACCCAACACCAACATTCCATAGCCACATCCCACACCCAACACCAACATCCCATAGCCACATCCAACACCCCGGTAGTTTGCCGAGTCAAACCATTTTGGTATGCGAGCGGAGGGTGTGAGTGTAGGTATGAATAATAATAGTAACACCAACACTCACTTTTTCGTGTTGATTTTTTCATTTCTTTAGTCTCTTTTCATACGCTTCTCCATCTATACATGTAACAGTACGATTCACCATAGTTTCGTCTTTCTATTTTCGATCAGCACGTAATAGCAAGTAGATATTGCGTCCTTCTCGCTCCCTCTCACTGTTAGTCGTGCCCTCGACCTTGGATGATTCGAATAAAGAGATCCGTGTAAAATTTTTTTCTGAAAAATCTGATTGAAATCGATCTCAGACTGATAATCTAGGGAAGAGATTTTAATTGACTATCGAAAATACAGATTATAATTGATATCTCAGATAATTTATCTAGGGTAGTGATTTTTAATTGATTATGATGATCTGTAATCAATTTTAGTGAATTAAGAAATAATTCAATTTAAATACCATTTTTATACTTTATGTCAACATGAAATTTTGGTCTAATGGTAACTCTGTTTTCATGATTAGAGATATCAGTAAAAACTACGAAAAAATCCGAGTATTGTGTTCAAATCTTGATAGAAGCAGCTGGGAACTTGTTTGATGATTAAAATAGATTCAATTATCGATTTTTGATTAAAATACATTAACGAGTGCGTAACCAATTAAAATGAATTGACCGTCACGTAATCCCAATTTAAAGTTTTTCTGCCGAAAAATCTGATTTTAATCAATTATAATTACATAGGGTGATCAAAAAGTTCCGAGAACTAGTGACATCCTTTCAATAGGAAGTACATTATATTTATTTATCTGCAGCAAACGTTAAAAGACATCATAACAATGTTCGATAGCAAGCTCGATTTACTTTTGAATAATCTTTTCGTATTCATCGATACGTGTCAATCTGATTGCTCGACTGTTACTTAATTAAATTTATTGCATCTAAGTAGATATTTAGTTTATACTTTAAAACAGTTGAATAACAGAAGCTCAGATAAAGCGAGACAAATGGAATGTGTCTGATAGACCATGTCTTCGAATTCTCTCTTCTGTGAAAAATTTAATAACAATAATTTTTATATGCGATTTTCAGTACCATGATGGATTTGATACCACCGATGCCGCATGATAATCTTTGTTGGAAATTTCTTAACGATGAGAAAATAAATTTCAACAGAATCAGTCTTCGTTAGGATCCTATGAGACGATGTTGCAATTTCTCATAGTTACAAGTTCCATCGGCTATGAAATAGCTCAAGAATTGGATGGTATCAATCCAAATCTTAAACAAATTACGAAATCTGTGCCGAAAAAAAAATCAATATCCATCACTACAAGATCAACTACAAGAAGAACTTGCCATATTGAATGAAACCGGAGATGAATTGAACGCATTGAAGATACAAGAAATACAGTATCAGAAGCGTCTGGACTACATCGTTCAGAATCTGAAGAAAACTGCCTTGAGTGAATCAAAAAAGATCTATTTGAAAGCACAACAAAAGAACAAAGAAAAAAAATTGAAACAATTGAAAAAAAATATAAAATTGGCCGAAGAAAATTGTGTAGAAGCTAGAAAAACCTATCATACAAAAATAGCAGTCATATTCAAAAAAAGTCAGGAGGATGAACTTGCATGTCTTCAATCATTCGTGATTCCGTTCCAGAAATTTCTCAAGATTCTCAACATCGAGTGTGATGTATTCAACGAAGCACAAAAAAGCATAATCCTCAACAAGATCTCATCCAATGGAGAGACAACAACCACCTTTCACATTTCGACAATAGGTCATAAAATAATACGACACTATAGTAGTAGCCAACAAATAAAACTTCTAATCCTTTTTACTAAATTCAATTCTCAATAAAATTTCGAATCTTCATGTTATAATTGTGAAACTGTATGATAATCAATAGTTAACGATTCTTTGCCTATAAAATGGTGTGGGTGTCACTCTTCTATTTGGAAAATTCTTTTCGTTTGCATGAATTCGATTGATGATTCGTCATCTCTCTAATCGTAATATCAAATTCGCATCAATTCAGCGGTTTTTTTCTCTGTTTAGACAAAAAAGAAATATGGATCATTATTATGTCGAGGTGTATTTGAAATCGATCACCTTATATCTAATAATCCTATTCCTATACATGTATAAAACTGATTTGAAATTTGCTTTCAATAATATCTAACCATAGTATTATTCACTATCTGAGTATGTGTGTGCGTTTGTTTATTACTCTTCTTATCATTCACTCGTACACTCACACCCTTAATCGAAGGATGAATGGAATATAACGTGAAAAATCGATTGATAATTAAATGATCCGATAAATGAACTGAAAGCATTTCATCTTTGTAAGGTATGACAACTTGTTTATGAATTTGATTTTATTTCTGAACAAAGTTTTATTTTAAGTAGTAAAGATGAATCTGTCATAAGATATCGAAATCGAATATTAAAATTTAAAAATGCTTTCATTATATCACAATCATCAAGATATTCAAAAATTTCCAGAAAAACTTCATTTGACATATCTAAATCAATTAGAAAATTTCAGCAAAAGTTTGATTAAACTGAATCAAAGAAATATCAGTATTTAGTTCATTGGAAATTATGTTAAGATATACTACATAAAAAAATAAGATGTCACCGAAAAGAATAGTAAAGTATGTTAAGATCTTTTATTTATTCAACAGTGAATTTAAATGTAACATTCGAATCCAGTAACAATATTTTTGTTGAATAAAAATTATTTTCAATATTCAAAACATCTAATAATTACATTACTTGATTATTATTTGTATACATTATGGTCCATTGTTGATTTTCACTGATTGATCATTTTCTTCTGAAACAAGGAAAACATACAGATTCGATCGATGAATACTATATAAAACTTACTTGACAATGGATTTTCAAATGAGACACGAGCTGCAATGGATGTTCTTGCCCAAGGTTGTAGTTCACTTGATCCAAGAAATGTAAACGCAATCATTCCAATGATGTAAATTGCAGCACAAATAAAAACTACAATACGCCAATTACTCGGATCCTAAAACGATTAAAAATCTATCCTTTATCAATATTTTAAGGAAACTAAGCTAACTTTTTCTGTAAGAGCACCAACCGCATACGAACTAACAATACCTGGTATTGTTGATAATGTATTGGAAATACCAAAGACTATTCCTGTATACGCTGGTGCAATATCATTTGCAACGAGTAAATATCCTCCGCTGAAACATAAAGATTATTTTCCTTACAGAAATAAAACATGTGCCTACTGAAATGCAACACCGATTGTTAATAACACGACAGCAACATATTTTAGTCGACATGTCATAAATGCTAAACCAAGCACAAATATTGCTGGGAAAAGATTTCCAAGTATATTAAATAATTTTCTTGTATTCGTTGTTGTCAACAAGTTTTTACGAATAATTACATCAGCTATAATACCTGATATATTTATATTCAACCATAAGACAATATAAGGTAGAGCTGCAAGAAATCCATTCTAAATTTTAAAACTAAAAGGTACCCCAATTATTACACGTATGAACAATAAATAATGCCCAACAAGCTGGTGATGTGAGAATAGCTCACCATGGAGCATGAAAATCAATTTTATTACTATCAGATAATTATTGTTGAGTATTTTGAAGAATATATTCTTTTTCTTGTATACTAATAAATCGATGATTTCGTGGTGAATTTGTATAGAATAAAATCCAAACAATATCCCAAACAAAATCAAAAACAGCTAGTGTATTTTTTTTAGTAGAATAATATATTATTAGAATCAAATATTAGTATCTACCTGCTGAATAAAATATAAATGGCCAACCACCAGCAATATGCCATGAACACATCAATCCACCAATCGATAAAGCAAATGCATTTCCAGCTTGTGAACCTATCAGTACAATGAAAGCAACCGTTTAAATTATAGACAAAAATAAAATAAATTACCAGCATTCATAAAACCTATCAGTTTTCCACGTTCATGTGCTGGTGCCCAATGAGCCATGATTACAGTGATACATGGCTAAATGGTTCCATGTGCAAATCCAACTAATAATCGAAGAATACAAAATAATATCCAAAGTACATGTGCAATTAATGGCATGAACACAATAAGTAAACTTGATACAATCATCGCTCCACCAAATCGACCAGCTAAATATCCACCTGGTATTTGAGTTATAATATAACCCCAAAAATAAGCACCTAAGATGATACCTTGCATAGTTTTCGTCCAAATAAAAGAACCTTCCTATAATGAACAGAAATGAATAAATGAATATTTAATGTAATTTATCTACAATATGATTTGTGTTATTTGTTTGACGACAACTATCATCTATATGCGTAATTAGTGTAGTAGTAGTAGAATTTAATTTGTTTTGTTCAATTGCTGAATGATTAACCATGCAGACAAGAGCAATGCCAACATTCACTTTTTGTGAATAATGTGTTATCATTCCAAAAAATCCAAGAACTATGACAGCAATACGTATCAAACGCTAAAAAGGTACTATTCGACAAGAGAACCAGTCTGTTTTTATTATATCTAATGGTAAGGATTGAGACTTACCGGATGATTTTGAATTTGTTTCATCCATTGATTTATTTTTTATTAATAAGCTTAAACCTACAATTCTATGATATAAGCTCTATAGAAATAATAGTTTTTAATAAGTTATATTGCATTTTTTAATATTTAAATAATTTGTAAATAGGACATAGAAATTAAACACAAAAAATTTTCAACTTGACATGATGAGACTTAATTATACAGCTACTTTTGAACTCATATCTTGTTAAGATTCACCTCATATGAACGTTTTGTTCCTTACCAAAGCAATATGCTACCTATTTTGATAGTGACTCTAACAAGTTTATATAGCTCTTGTCAGCATAAAAACGAAAGTTATGGGTTCCAGTCTTGGGTGTGAAGTGTGCGTGGATGAAGATAAGAACAATATCCACATTCACATCCCCATACCCATATTTATAGTTCTGACTAGTTTATGTTGAAAAATTAGATCTTCATTAGAAATTAGGTGAAATCCCACATGATTCTACAAATTCTGTACGATGTTTTCGTGTTATCAAAATGGATCTCTTTCTGGCGACATCTATCATTGAACTACAAAAAAAAAACATCGGCTATCTATTCTTTTTTTGCTGTATTAGTGGATATTTTAGCCATCTCCTATAATTAAAAACAAATTCTACTTTTCTATTTTGCAATTCGTTTATCCATGGAATATCTGACAGTTATCCAATGACATAATCCTCTTAATCCTGAATAAAGACTTCTCTTGATATCTTGTTTTTTTTTCTTGTTCGAAACTATTTTTTCGAGTAGGCTAACGTGTCAAGGAAAGATTGTGTGCAAATATGAATTGTCAATTGTTTAATGAACCAAATCATACAACAATTTATAAAGCATATCGTACTGGTTATCCACAAGAATTATATAAAAAAATTTTGGAATTTTATTTCAATACAACCAATATCGATTTCAATAATGATGATAATGATAAAAAAATTCCATTAGCTTTAGATGTTGCCTGTGGCAGTGGACAAGCAACTATTGATTTAAGTTATTATTGTCATCGAGTTATTGCTATTGATTGTAGTGAAAATCAATTAAAAAATGCAACATTAAAAGAAAATATTGAATATCATTGTTCTAATGCAGAAAATTTAACATTTCTATCACCTAATTCAATTGATCTTATTACAGTAGCAACAGCATTACATTGGTTTGATATTCAAACATTTTTTCAACAAGTTGATCGTGTTTTAAAACCGAACGGTGGTGTTCTAAGTGTGTGGTGTATCGGTTTTCCACTATTAGACAATTCGAAAACTATTGAAATTCTAAATAATTTCTATCAAAATGATCTTCATGGTTGTTGGAGTGATCAAGCACAATTAGTGATTGATAATTATGAATCGATACTCGATACATTTCCATATCAACAAACAAGAATAAAACATATTATCACCTATGAACGAGAAATGTCTATTCTTCAATTGGTTAAGTTGATTGAAACATGAAGTCCATGTCAAACATATCGTAAACGTCATGGACAAGATCAATTTAAACAATTATTAAATACATTAACAGATAATTTGGCTAAGTGTTATGTAGAATCATCAAATGATATTATTGATAATAATGATCGAGATGCGATTTATAATAAAATAATTGCTATTAAATGGACAATACATTTACATCTAATGAAAAAAACAATAAATAATACGCATTGATTAGATATTATACATGAAAGATTATTTTCAGAACTTGTCTACAAAGATATGCACAATGCTTTTTGATTTTTCACGTGTCTGCCAAAATTACATGTGGCTTAAATAAGTTTTATTTCTTATCGCTATCGGTAGTGTCCAGTGAACAATTGAATAACTAATATTTTTATGGTTCTTTAGCACAAAATAGTAATTTTTTTTTTCATTAAATACTGTTACACTAATTAGTTATGTCGAAAATTTTCTTATGATCTGATGCAACAATTCCTTTTATTATTTTTGTAACTAATCGTAATAAACAATAAAAATAAATCTCCATAGTTTCAAAGATATTCTTATAAGAGAATATATGCACATATTATGGTCAAAATTATAAATAAGTCAAATTAAAAATTTGTCCAGACAAAATTGAAAATTTTTTTGATAAAGAAAAAAAGGAAAATGTTGATAACAGATGGTATCGGTGTAGGTAAGATGCTGGGTTTTGAGTAGTTTGCAATTTGATGCCCTTCATCGAAATACAAACCATTTATATAATTTTTGTTCAATGCTGAAATCTAAATAGTAAGAATTTACGAGGAAACATTCACAAGTGCTGGACATTGTTTGGCAACATATTTTGCTATGAGTATGATTCAATGAAACTAAGAACTATTCTTGACCTCTATGTCAGCTAATCGTAGTCAACTAAATTACTATATTTTCACTTGAAATTTTGTCTATAGATAGGTCTTACAATCAATAGAATATCCTAAAAATTTTAGCTAAGATCAATGTATGCTTCTAGAGATACCGAATATCCACAGAACGCTTTTATATCTTAAAGCAAACCATAGAATCAAGTCGTTTTAGATACCCGATATTATTCGAAGCATACATTCGCCTCAGCTGAAGTTTTTAGGAGGTTCACACTCACTTCCTTTTCTCGATCTTTTTTGAATAGTGAAAGTCGACAGAAACGATGATTAATAGTGTGCTATGGGCGATAAATGTTAACAGGGGAAATACGAACTTCGGTTGTAGAAGTCTGGTTTTTTTTCCTATGCAACATTGATACACCATCCTCGAGTTGAATATACTTTCACATCATTTTCGTGATCCAATCCGTATTCAGCACATGCACACATATGCTTACATGGAATTAAGATGCATTGAATTGTACGATCAAAACAAATTCAACAATTAAATCTATTCTTATCAGCATTCGAACTTAGTAAAGATAAAGCTGATTTTTTATCGATAACTGAGTTCTGTAGTAATGGTAATGATGACCTAAGAGATGGTCTGTAATTGGTGCGTCGGCAATACTAAAATATTGATCATATGGATGAGATTTTGCAATAGCGATGAAACAGTGACATTCTAGAAATAGAACAAGAATGATTTTTCTAGTCTATGTCAAGATATATGAAACTGCCTGAAATCGTCCTTGTTTATCCAAATGAGCTGTGTAGATTGATCGCTATTTGAATGGTCCATGAAATATAAGACCATTGTCAACTTTAACAAGAGCATTTGCTTGTAACATCATGTAGTTACATCTATCGACTCAAAAATAAACAAAACCACCGAAAGCAAGGAAAGTATAGGATAAATCACCTTTTGCCACTTTCTTATCTATCTTTTTCTTTGCTCTATCACCTAACTGAGTTAGTCCAGTTGGTGGATAAACCCAACAAAAGTGTGTTGCATCATATGGTATATGTGCAACGTCACGAGCTTTGTTTTCCTTGCAAGAGTTTGATCGATGAGATCAACATCGCATCTCTTATACACCCAATCTTGATCTTCTTTATAATATATGACCGTGTCTGATGATAAATTTTCACCATTGATTGCATTGAGAATTCTTGTCGGTACTTTTTGAATGTTATTCATCATTTTCTTTCAGTGTAAACCGATGCACAGAAGTTAACTCGTCACTTTTTTTTGCTGTTCTTTTCTTGTCGTGTGCACTGAATGAGTTCTTTTTATTACTGTTATTGTCGCTTATCATAATGAGGTGATCTCCTTGATAAGCAGTATTATCAGATTCCATTGAAAAATATCGTTCTATCTTTTTTCTCTTTCTTCATATTCTTGTAATTTTTCATTGTAGCATTTTATCATTATGATCTTTTGTTTTTATAAATATCGAAGATAAATGGAACTGATTAAAATTAACGTCGATGTTGGAAATTTCTGAGATGAGTAATGTTAGATTTTTCAATGATACTTGTTAACATATCGAAATTACATCAGAGACGTTGAACAACTATCAAAATTCGTTTTTTTTTATGACATGTTTTATAGTAAGTAACTCGATTTATTCAAACAAGTAGTAAAGACTAGTGATAATCTTTTAATTAATTGTTCCAATAAGGTTCTTCTTCACAAATAAATTTCGAGAAATCTCTTACTATATATACACTTTTTCGTACTTTGTACAAAATATATTTCATCTAAGAGAAAAGGAAATGCCATCTATTTATTAAATCTATGTTAAAATACTGAATTCCAAATTCTCATTGCTTATAGCAGTACACATCTATTTTCTGTAAAAAAAAATGTTCAAAAATGATTCATTTGTTTAATAATTTCAAAGGTTTCTGATAGACTACTTTGTATGTGACTTCTTACTATTGAATAGATGCATATTGATCAATCGTTCAAATGGTTGTTCGATAAGAATGAACCAAACAGTCGATAAAATGAGACAGATTGTTAACACTAGTGCTAGACATAGAAGGGTTAAACCATCGATTGAAAAACGTTTAGGATCAAATAGATGACTATGAGACATTATCAATTCGAATGCAATTCGAAAATGTAGTACATATACTAGGTAACTTAATTTAGCAATTGGTGTTCAAATGGGAAGTGATAGAAATGATTTGATCCATGGGCTATGATAAGGATGCGTTGATGGACAAATGGCCGAAAAGAGAATAAATGCTTGTGATATGGAAAATAATTGTCGAATAATGGAAACCATAATTGATAATACTAGGGTGTGGGTGTGGGCGTGGGTGTGTGGGTGTGGGTGTGGGGTGTGGGTGTGTGGATGTGAGTGTGGGTGTGGGGTGTGGGTGTGAGGTGTGGCTGGGTGTGGGTGTGGGCGTGAGTGGGTGTTGTTCTTTCAGTCACACCCACACCCCACACCCCACACCCCACACCCCACACACCCACATCCACACACCCACACCCACACACCCACACCTACACCCACACATCCACACCCACACCCTCACATCCACACCCCACATCCACACACCCACACCCACCCACACACCCACACCCTCCGATGTATTGCACAAGCAAAAGACCAGTCAAATTCTTCGATTTTGTGTCTTTCAGCTACAATTGATTCGTCAAATTATTGAAATCTATGAGACGTTAAAAGCACCGAGAGAGGTCGGCCCAGTGCTGGGTACAATCCTATCAGATTTATTAGTCGCCATTTCCCGTCGCTTACACTTTCAACATCAGCAAGACAAGATCCTCGAAAAAAATACGTGTTTTGTACAAGTACAACAAGAAGAGCTAAAAAGAGGGCTGAATCTAGATATGAATATACTGAGTGCAACATCAGGCTTTGTGTAATAGGTTGTTTTCGAGATTATCATACTCTGAGATACGTTTAGACATTTGTGCTTTAAATTGATGTGAATAAACACATTGCACCAGAGTTTCGAAAAATTCCATTTTTCTAACAGTAACCTGGTCTTCAAGGGGTTACACGTAAACATTCAAACATGTCAGGACAGGTATTTGTCAAATATTTATTGGCTAATTACGGACACTTATATGCTGAACTTTTTCATATAACTTATATATTTGTATATCGTTGAATTTTCCTCTTTCTTTCTTCGACTTCTGACTATCTGTGACCTTGCAATGACATTTCGATGTATTTTCTCGCTGCTATTGCTGCCTAATTCATACATTGAGAAAAATTCTTGTCTGCCGTCTCTATAAAAAGCATTCGCCACTAGTGGAAACAATCATTCATTTTGAATAGTTGACACAATTGAAGATGAAAAGGTAGATTAAACATTTCTGATATTAGAAAATCCTATAAAAATGGCTGTAGTTTTCATTGATACATTAGACGTTGTTGTACACTTCAGCATTGATCATGTGTTACATAGCTTGAGAAAAATAAGAGATTATTTTTTTTTCAAAATTGTGTTTTCCTTCTAAGTCAATCTCGTTCAGATGAGTATCAGACTTTTTTTGCATAGACATTATGAACTTTTTTCTATTTGATCCTACTGATCAAGAATTATACAATAAAGATTTCCTTTGATCAAACTAAAATTCAAATTTCTGTACTGTGATGATTGTTTCTAGCCTCAAGTTTAGTCATGATATAAATTCACCTAAACGACAAGTATATGACGACGTGCAAGACAAATTTGACGTCGATTTGAAGACTGTATTACATTCGTCAACTGTTCCTGTTTACCATACACTAGCAGCAATACATGGTGAGAAGCAGTAAGTAATACAAGAATTTGTCGATTCTTATCTTTTCATGTTTTTTTTTCTTATAATCAGATCAATAACCCATTTCGAAGACCTATCAAATGAAATTCTGTTCGACATTTTTGATTTCCTTGGTGGCTATCATATAGTCGAGGCTTTCTCAAATCTTAATATTCGTTTCGAACATCTCTTTAGTTGTTCTTATTTTTCTCTAAAATTGAATATTCCATTCATGTCAAAATTGGATTTTAAGAAGCGTTCTACGAATATTATCGCTCGATATATTCATCGAATTATTTCATTACATATATCAGAAGCATTTT